ACAAATTTTTTCACTTGTATCATGAACACATTTTTCAATCTACATTTTTATATTTTCAATTACCTTTTTATCTCACATACATCACATCATAAAAAAGTGCTACAGTAATTATTCATTATTTGGAATAATTCTCTATCCAAACAAAGGCCAGTAGTGTTTGGATAGCACAAATATCTCAAATAATATTTCGTTTGCATCATAAACACATTTTCCAACTCACCTTTTTTATATTTCCAATTACCTTTTTATCTTACATACATCACATCACAAAAAGTGCTACAATAATTATTCCAAATAATATTTTAAATAATACTCTATCCAAACAATAATGTACGACGGACCTTGAAGCTTCAATGTGCACTAAAGTTGCCTTGCATGTCTAGGGGCCTGTTTGGAACCTTGGTTTTTTATCAAATTTGTATAAAACTAGTTTTTAACAATTTTTGTTACACGAATCCCAAAAAATTTATCAAAGTTTCTAACCTACACACTTCAAAAATACACAAAAAACTTTCCCTTCAATTTTTCTTCTTTTTCCTCCCCCACCTAACCCACCACGTCCTCTGTCGCCGGCCACCACCTCCACCACTGCTGCCGGAGCTGGTCACTATGCCGACAGCCAGTTCCGGCCTTTCTCTTTTTTTTCTCTCTCTCTCACCCCCTCTGCTCCTCTCTCCTCCCCCTTTGACCGATCTGTTGGTGCTCTTTTTTTTTTCTTTCTCCCTTCCCCTCCCCTCTTTGCCTTTGCCTTCCCCGCCAGCCTCCCTCTCCCCCTTTGATCGATCTGGTCGCTCGACCAGATCGCAAAGGGGGAGAGGGAAAGGGGCGACCAGATCGCAGCTAGGGGAGGGGAGGGGTGGCGGGGGAAGGGGAGAGGGAGAGGGGAAGAGAGAAAAAAAAAATAAAAAATCACCTGTTAGTTGCTGCCATGGAAGTCTCGGGAGAAGGAATAGGGGAGGGAGAAGAAGCGAGAAGGGAGGAAGGAAAAGAAAAAAGAAAGAAAGAAAATGAAAAGGAAAAAAAAATTCATCTTACAAACACCCCAAGTTTTTCTACAACTTTTACAGTAATCTACAGTAAAGTTTTATACAAATATTCAAAAAACTCATATTCTAAACAGTCCATAGATTTCGAGGGATCAAGACTTTTAGCGTCACCAATATCAACTCCATAGTATATTATAGACAGTACCATAAAATTTGATGTATACACAAACATAATAAATGTATATAATACCACAATAAAATTAAAAAATACAATAATTTTTTACGCATTAAAATTAGTGTTCTATATTCCATCTTTTCCATCCAATTTCAAAACATCTTCCACCTTCAAATGCACCATGCAGTTACCGCAGTGCATTTTTTGGATCCCCTATTTTTGGGGTGTTTTTCAAAAACTAATTTTTCAAATACAATAAAAATTTTTAAAAAGTACTCTAAAAGGTAATCTAAAAATTAGTTTAATTTTTTTTAAAATTTTAAGAAATATCTCAAAATATATTATAAAAACTCTTATACTCTTAAATATCCTAAAATATTTTTTAAAAATATTTCAAAATATATTCTAAAAACTCTGTTACAGCAAAGTTTTTCAAAAACATTCCAAAAAACAACTAATCCCCTTGACCTTTTCTAAACTGAAGTCTAGAAATTCGGCTTTTATAAAGCTAATCCCAGAAGAAACCTCAAAAGCCGGCAACTCTTGAGGTCCTTCCAGGGACTTATAAACCAAACCCAAACCCCCCCCAGAACCGATGTGGGATGGCAAACCCCACAAGGGCAAGCCAGTAAGGCCGCTGCTGCTAAGAAGTAAAGACCCCTCACGACACTCAGTAAACTACCCTTGCATGAATTTGCCTCTTGAAACAACTAATCCCCTTGACCTTTTCTTAAAACAACTAATCCCCTTGACCTTTTTTTTTTTTTTTTTTTTTTTTAAGGAGGTTGATTTTAAGTACCATCTGCACAATTTTCTAATACATAGTACGGAAATGATAATTGGCCGACGTCATTAATTCGGGTCAACCACCACAAAACCAGAAAGCTGTTCAGCTGCGTATTCCATCATAAGGTGAGACATAAGACTCTCTTTCGCACCTTATTAAGGCATCAGTACCTTATTTGGACTATGTTTACCTATTAACGAAGACTTGAAGACCAGAATGAAAAATACCAACCTTACTAACTAATCCTTATGAAGGATTCTTAGGGAAATTAATCTCTAACTTAAATAATTGCAAATAAACGATACAAACAAAAGTGTAAGTGATTTAAAGGAAATCAAAATAAACTCTATTTAAAAGCAAGGATGACGATTAGTCGAATACCATCCAAAATATCTCCTTCCAAATCTTTACCCGTTTAGATAAATGTTCTACCAAATCTTCTTAATGGGTAAACCTACAAGTTTAATTTTCATTATCAAATTTGCTAGGTTGCATTTTTTGCATCAATCCTCGTGTATTTTTTACTTGCTATTTAAACTAGTCAAATGCTCGTGAAACTAAAATACACGCATCTAAACAAATTTTAAAAATATATGAAAATGAACTTTTGCTAAACTAAAAATTCAGTACACCAAAAAGTAAAAACCATTCATCATAATAAAAAGAGAAAATCGTTTAAAAAGTCATTCACATTTTGTAAAATGATTATTTTTTTGTTCATCACTTTTAAAAGTGTAATTTTACGTTCTTTACAAATTTATATTAGTCAAATTTGATATCTATCTAGATTTCTGATTACTGTTTTGAGAGAATCCACCACGTGCCTTGCAAGTGATCACTTTTTTTATGGACAAATTTGTCAAATCACATTTCACATGAACCAATTTATAATCAATTACATTTTACAAAATAAAGTTTTGCGTCCCTCATATTTTACAAAATAATTTTTTTATTTCTTATATTTTAAAAAATAAAAATTTTCATCCCTCATTAATTATATGTACGGTAATGTTACAAAATGTTAAAAATAAGGGAAGGGAGTACCCTATTTTTCCGGTCGAGAATTGCACCTAAAGAGGGGCTTCTTCTGAAGTTCTCCCATGTTGAGCTGCCTTTCTTGAATTCGGGTACTTCACAGCTTAAAGAATCGGCCCAACAAACTAATGCAATTGCGTGGTTAGTCCCCACTTCGGAAGGTACAGGCCCAGATCTGAGCACTGTGGTCGTCAATGTGGCATGAGGTAGACAAAGCAGGCCCGTAAACTTTCTGGGCATCCCGTGGTTCTCACGAGTGTTTTGATTTGAAATCACCAGCAGGCCTTTTCAGTGGAGGGCGAAAAAGTTTTCCACACGTAGGGTTCGGATGCGCTAGATGAAATCTGGGCAATGGATCGAACATAACATATGTAAAACAAGTCCCCTGATTGGGCGAAAGCTTGAAAAAATTTGGAGCGAGAGTACGTACGAGGAAGTGGTCGTGGTCCCACCAGCCAGCAATTATTGTTTTGGAATTGGCGGGAGCATTTCCTTGCGGAGCAAGCTCCTTACCGAGCAAGGAAGGGAAGCCAAGCCCCACTCCCCAGCCCCCTTTTTTTCTTTTTTCCCTCCTTCCCTTCGGGAGGCACAGATCACAATACAAAAGGAAGCCACCCATCGGTGACCGGTAAAGCCAATGTTTTGGGAACCGGATCGGACCGGCCGGTTCGACCGGTTGAACCGCAAACCGGCCATGGCACCGGTCCGATTCAATGACATTGTTGACTTTGCTAGAAAACCGGCCAAAGACCGGGTGAACCGTGAAAACCGTCGAACCGAATTGAACCGGCGATTTTCCGGTTTTCAGCTTTCCCTTTTTTTTTTTTTTTTTAAAAAAAGTTTTGCAAAATGCAGCAATCAAGATTCGAACCCAAGATTACAAAGACCAATGTATTAACCGTTGCACCATCACATCTTATTAGTTTTTTTTGATAACTTATTTATATAAAACAAACACTCATATTTCTTTTTTCCATTTTTCTTACAAAATCTCATCTCCTCATAGCTCTTTCTTTTTAATTTTCAACTCTCTCTCTCTCTATCATCTTTTCTTTTGTCACTCCCTTTTTAATCAAACCTCTTTATTTTTAATTTATTGATGTTTTCTTCCATCTTTTAATTTTGTTTTTGTCCATTAAATTGAAAAAAGTTAAAAAAGTATTTTTTTTAACTCAAATTATTTAATGCCACAACCACTCACTTTTATCTTATTTTTTGTTTCTTATCAAGTTTACATTTCTATTTTCGATTTTCTTGATTTTCTTTGAACTCCAAATTTTCTTTTTTAAATTGCAATCTCTAAATCCCAAAACGTAAATTAAAATTAAAATTCATAATATCTAAATTCTCAGAGACATGAATTTTGTATAATTTCAAAATATTGTGATATTTTGGGGTTGGATTTAGATATAATTGAAATTGAGATGAAATTTATTTGTTTTAACTTATAATTTAAAAAATTTATTTTTAAAAATCCAAGTTATTAAAAAATAGTAAACTTTTCATCATATAAAATATTAAATTAGTCCATTACATGTCTTATTTTGTACATATATATATTTATATAAATTATTTTTAAAAAAATTCATTGAACCGAGGTTGAACCGGTCCGACCGATTGAACATCGACCCTTTCACTTCACCGGTTCAATTAACGGTCCGATTTTTAAAAACATTGGGTAAAGCACAAAAAAACTTCGGCCCGCTTTTGTCCAGCGTCCACCATCCACCAATTACGAGCAATCTGGTCTGGCGAAATGGGTAGACTTCCCAAATTCAAGGATCGGAATCAAAATAAGTAAACAAATTTGGAATGACTAAATGGTCCAACCAATTTGACCAATTTACATCGATCGGACATTTTTGTTGTTGACAATCTTATGAGCAAACGTACGTACGTACGTATGTGCTGCAAGAATTGCGAACCAATCAATTCAATTTGATGTTTTTTTTTTTCTTAACAAACAAAAAATTTAACGTAGGATCGATTTAATTTGAAGCAGGAGAGTGAGTACGGAGGAGCATCCGGCCGCCGGATTTTGACAACTGTGTTAGGGATGACGGAGTACATATATTGGCTCATGCACTTTGCACTATAATTAAAAGTTGTCCCCTTCGCTTCCGCTTCCACTTCCACTCTCCCACCCTTCCATCTGATCATATCTTCATCCCCCTACTCTACTCTACTCTACTCTTACTAGGAAAGAGACCTTGATACCCCGCACCTGCTTGTCCTCCTTGTTTTTTCTTCAGCTTTCTCACCTCCCTCTGCACCACTTCTGTTCTCAGCCCGGCTGGCTGCATTTCTCCTCCTTTGCTAATTTTTTATCATAGTACTTGCCGCTTCTGAGAATTTTGTTGGTATCTGCGCCGTTGATCATTCAGTGGTATACAGTATTGGTGATTATTGAACTACTCTCCAGTCTCCTCGCACACTTGCTTCCCATACCCAGTCAGGCAGACGCAAAATCATCTAGTTATGGTTTTTCGTTCGTGAAGTTTTGGTCTACTAAAAGATTTTACCGTCTCTTTTTAAAAAATTCAGCTCTGCGACTGCTAGTAAGTGCTGCTACTACTCTCAAGTTTTGGTCTCAAAAGAAAACAGTAACTTCTTGCTGGATTTCCAATTTCTTCCGCGCTTGTCCGTTCAACTCTTCCGTTCTTTTTCTTTCCCATCAGGAATTGCTTCTGTTACGGTATCAATATATCGTGTTAAAGGTTTTGGTAGGCTTCCTTGATTTCAGAATTTTCCTTCTTTCTTTCGTGGGGGAAAATTATAAAATGGAAAGAAATCTTTTTTTTTTTTTTTGTGGCTGCATGACTTGATAAATATGTATGTCAACTAACTTTCTTTGTTTATCTGATTTCTTTATCCTTGGAAACTTGCACGACAATTGAAGTTGAGAGTAAATTAACATTTTAACCATTTTCTTTTTTCCTAGGAATAGCTGACTTAACAGTAGATGGATTCCAGAACGCCTCAGAGTAGGCCGAACAAGAGGCCTATTGATAAAGATTCCAGCCAGGGCAGATCAATAAAGAGGTTCTTTCCTGCAGAAGGTGATCAATTAAGTGCAGAAAAGGTTTTCAAATTTCGGGTTCTTTTGCCTAATGGCACCAGTGTGGACCTGAACCTCCGCCGACCTGGTGCTGAAATGACTCTGGAGGAGTTTGTTCATACGGTGAAGCGCGAGTACTTCAGTGTTGTGAGACAGACAGAGGCTTCTAAGCCAAGAAGCAGTATAAACTGGTCGAGTCAAGATTTTCATTTATTTGATGCTAATGCCAACCCGATTAGCAAGAAACTGGTTTTGAACAACTTCAGGCGTAATAGTAAAAATCCCAACATTTTGCTTCTTCAAGTGAGTTTGTCTCTCTTATCATGTTAATTCTCGGTCGCGTTGTCAAGGTTGACTGATTTTTTTCATTTTCATTTTTGTCTTCCTTTTGGTAAAGGATGGTTCGGCAGAAATAGGAAAATACGAGGTTTGCTTCTAGTCAACCTTTTTTGCATTAATTGTTATTTTCTCGTGTAAGCTTTGGGTTTGTTGTTAAATCTGTTAATTATGTATCACCTATTTGAGCTTGTAGAACATGTGGGATCTAACACCAGATACAGATCTACTGAGGGAACTGCCTGAGCATTACACCTTCGAAACTGCCCTTGCAGACTTGATAGTAAGCATGCAGCTTTCTACTTCTCTGTTCACCATGGGCTCATTTGGCCGCCTAAATGCTATTTTTGTCTGTTTTGCAGGATAATTCCTTGCAGGCAGTGTGGTCTAACGGCAGAAATGAGAGGAGGTTAATTAGGTACCGTATACAGTGGTGTCATTGGTTTGTTTCTATGCCACTTTCCAGCTATAGTGGTGTGAACTGTAAATAATAGCTATCTATTTTGTTTACATGCATGTTGCAACTCAAAAAGACACAACAATATTGGCCTCAACTATGGCGTTTCAAATTTCATTCTCCATTGCTAGCTAGTTCATATTGTATTTTTGTAATTAGGTTAAGAGCCTCTCATAATCTCCCCGATGAAGTTCATTCAAGGGATTAAGTAAGTTACTGGCTTTTCTTGATGCTTTTATTAATGCAGCCAATCATATCTTGAGGACGTGTCCCAGTACACATGTAAGAGGCGTATAGAATCTATTGATGCTGCTGTTGTTACAATAGAAGTTTATAAGACATATTAGGCATTTTTTATCTGGTCCTGGTACTGTGCTTGTGTGTGTATGAATATTTTCTATGAACCTCTAGGAATTTCTTGCTCAAATCATTTATTGACTCCAAATGTCTTCCAAATAAGGAATTACTCGTATGTTTAATTGGATTTTACCGTTTCCAGTTTGTTACATTGATGAGAATTCTTAAGAGTCGGTTTTACTGAAGGCTATGTACTCGCTACTTTGGTGATATTTATGATGAAGAATTTGTTGGTTAGATTCTGCATGTACATTCATTTATGCATGTGTCATTGTTGTTTTCTGCTCTTGATCAAATCTCTTCTTTTCTAAACGACTTTTTGCGGAATCAAATTCTGTGGTTGCAGTTTATTTTTTGTGATTCCCTGTCACCTGGAGTGCTTCTAGACTCTATCAAGTTAAAAATTGAAAATATCAAAACTAACAATATTGGTTTGCTTTGCTTCCAGGGTGGAATTGGCACAAGATAAAATTGAAATTTTTGATACAGGCCCTGGGATGGACGGAAGTGATGAAAATTCCATAGCAAAGTGGTAAGTAGTTGCAGTTATATATGGTGATATTCTGCTGAGCATAAGCATAAATGGTGTGGTTATATAGTTACTTGAGTTAAATACACAATGGCGTATGAGTTTGACACTAGTCTCTACTATTTTCTTGTTATCCGGTTTTAACTAGTTAATTACAGTCCCCTTAGAAATAAATAAAGCAAGCATAATTGCAGGACGCATCCTAATAGTAATTCTTAGGAATGTTCGTACCATTTATACATAATGGAGGTCCAATATGCCTGTTTATACTGATGGACCTGCAGGCAATGAAAATATGAGAGGTCCATTAAAACATTTAGAGGTCGCTCTATTGTGTCAAGACTTAAATAGATCTTGTTTGAAGTGTGAAATTAATTCCAATGACTTTCTTAGTTGTAGGAAGGAGGGAGTAGGAGATGGAATAGGATCCGTAGTGGGAGATAAGTGAAATCATGAAATTTAACGATTAGTCTGCATTCCGGTGTCGATCTGATTCCTTTTTCCAAGAGACATACTTTATGAAGATCACTGCTGACAAGTTCTTGTTGTTACTTGATCTACAATGCATGAAGTTTGTGGTCCGTTTCTCGTTCAGTTGTAACTCTACTTTTGCTTGTGCATTTTGCTGAATGCTTGGTTCCTTAAATTTTGATTCTATTAATTGTAATGTCAGGGGAAAGATCGGGGCATCTTTGCATAGATTAGCGAGAGAACAGGGCATAGAAAGCAAACCTCCATATCTAGCGGTAACAATTTCTTTTTAGACTTTTCTATCAAAAAACTGAAGCAAGTTACTTGAATTATGTGGTGTTTCAGCAGATGTCTTGTAATCTCAATAATCTCAATAATTCTTAGTGGCTAGCTTTGGTACAAAATCTTCTCCTTATTGGATCAGGCTATATATATGTTCAAGTTCTACAAATCACAGCATTGTACTGTGACAGTTAATGGACTTTACGGATCTAGTTTCCTTTAAGGCGCCACATAGTCTAGGGAAAATATGAGAATGAAGATGATGGGAAAAAATGAGAATGAAGATGATGGGTCTAATCCACATTGGGTAAAGTTTTTTTTGGGAGCCATAAGGTGAACCAGGGGTAAATTCCGGATCCTGAACATTGTGCCTACAGGATATTTAATCCTAGAATTCTGAAAAGAAGGAAGTGGCGTCTGCCTGGTCATCTGTGGATTGCCTTTCAAACTAAAATGGCTCCTAAATATGTGATTAGATCTGCAAATGAATTGTAAAAGCTTCATTTTCATATACAGAGTCATTTCACAAAAAGCTGTGAGCATATCTTTTATCCAATTATTGTTTTGGATCTATTTTGCTAACTGCAGCCTCTCTTCGGTATGTATGGTTATGGAGGACCATTTGCAACTATGCACTTGGGAAGGTACAACTACTTGGAAGTTCATGTTTAAGTTTACAGTGCCAAGAGAATTTTTGAATGTTGGATATAAAAGTTGCCCCATCTGCCTTTCTACTCATAGGCGTGCTTTAATTTCCTCCAAGACAAAGCGATCGAAGAAAGTTTATATGTTACATCTAGAAAGAGAATCTTTGCTCAGCTCTAGCTCAGGACAGACTTGGAGGGTAGAGTTCTCTTTTCAGTGTGGCCTCTTGTAACAGTGCTTTATTCCCTTGCTTAATCCTTTCTGAAGTTTCTATCCGATTTTCTTCCTTTTCTGCAATAGGCAAATGGTGGTCTTAGAGACGCTGACAAAGATGAATTAGAGAAAGCTTCCCATGGAAGTTTCACAAAGGTAACTATTCTCTTATCTCCATACTAGATGCAGAACAGATGCATCCAGTTATCATGATTGTGTTGATTGGATTGATACTTAGGTAGCTTTCAGTGCAGCTGAAGAATGAAGAGCTGGGATACAATTTCTCATGATTTATATATTCTCTAGACATACTTGTCAGCATATTTTTTTCTTCTGTTTGCAATTTTTCTTTTCTTCAGCAACACAATTTATGCCTAGTTGAAATTGTTAGATTTAAAGGCTCATCCTTGAAATCTCATTTGGTTTGTACTACTTTGTCACTAAACACATAAGAATTATATTAGCGTTTCTTTGCATGTGATCAAGTCAGATTTTACAACTTTTTCTTCTGTCTGAGCCTTGTCTATGCAGTTTAAGTCACTCTTTGGTTAAGGCTTGCTTGCTCACATGTCACTGTTGGTGCACATAAGAACTGTAGTAGTCATGTAGAAAGAATGTTTTGGACCTTCTTTCTACATGTATACAATCAGATTTTATCAATTGTAGCCTAATATTTTGGCAGGTTGAGATCTTCAATACTGAACAGAGAAGTATGAAGATGAAACAACTTAAGTGCCGACTGAAGGATATCTATTTCCCGTACATTCAGGTTCTCTTGTTTAACACCAGGCTCTCATATTTAGTATCATACTAACCAATTGAAACAGGACTAGCTGGTTCCTTGTTTTATCATCTGCAGAAGACTCCGATGCAAGCAATGCATCATGGAACTTTTTTTTTGCTTTAACAATCAATTTCTTATTGTAGGCTAGAGATTATAGAATGAGAAACATAAATGTAAGCTTATGTTATGTTTTGGCAGGAGTTAGCTCGGTGATGCTTCACACGTGGAACCAAATTCCTTCTACACAATTATAGATTATTAGTGCATCTGTCAGTAGACTTGTGCAATAATTGAGGAGTTTGGATTCTCTTTTGGCCTGTACAAGCAGAGTGTTAACATAACAGTGCTTTTGATGAATCAAAACTTTTCTCCTGTGAACACAAACTGCCTGAGTACAAAAAATTGAAATTTATGGCAAAAAACCTTCTTATGGATGTCCTTTCAGAAGTTAATTTTTAACAACTTGATGTTATCATATTTGATTTCTTACATAAGATTATTTGGACCTACATAGGCAGTACCAGATAAACTTTGGTGTATGTCTGTGAACAAAATAGGAAACCAGACAAACTTAGTAATTCATGTAGAAAAATTGAACAACAGTAGTGATGCCACTGAGTTACTTCCTGTAAATTTGATTTCATTATATGTGTATCTCTTGTATGTTCATGTAACAGTGATGGTGCCGCTTATATATTGTTTGCTGAGTTACTTCCCGTAAATTTGATTTCATTGTATGTGTATCTCTTGTATGTTCATGTTTTCTTCTTACATTGTGGCAGTGTGATGAATTATCCAGGACAGGCAAAACCCAAATGCCTATTGAGTTTCAGGTTTGAACTGTTAAACGATTTTATCATCTAAGGATATATAAAAACTTGTTTTGAATAAAGTATATGTTTCTTCGGAAGTACAAAATGCCTATTGAGTTTCAGGTTCGAACTGTTAAATGATTTTATCATCTAAGGATTTATAAAAAAAACTTGTTCTCAACACAATATATGTATCTTTGGAAGTTTATACGAGTTGAGCATGGTATAATGTTTCTCTTCACTGAATAACAGCTTTCTTTCCCCGTACACGCTGGTTGGCAGGCTTTTCCTGCAGAAATTTGTACTAGTTGGTCCTTTATGCAATTGATTTTTCTGGTCACATTCTCCTGCAGTGAAACCTTTTTTGGCATGAATTCAAAGAGAATGGATGATGCAAATTCTTGCAATATCTCTACCTGGTTCTTGTTCTCCCAATGAATAATTCCATGATTCCTCAAACCCCCCTCAACTTTTGATTGCCACTTGACATCTAAAGTAGCTAATTTACATGGAGATGCACAATAAAAGAAACTGGTGTTTATTCAAACTTGTCTCCATGTTGTATCATCTGAATTTGCTGAACATAATAAATATGAATTTGACATTATTTCCAGGTTAATGGCATTGGTTTGGCAGAAATATTAGGTGGCGAGGTAGCTGTGACGAATGTAAACTCTTGTAATGGGCCTGATTTTACTTTGCAATTGCATTTGACCAAGGATGCTAGTCAAGCTACATCATCTTCAAACCCAGGTGAGAACCTAATTTTAAGTCTTAAACGAACCATTTTCTCTTTGTCCTGTTTTTAGACAATAATGTGCTTTTGGTTGTTATATCGTATGCTTGAGTTGAGCACTTACTGCATAACATAATATTTTCAGGATACACTGCACCTCGGGAAGCAAATGCACGCCTTAAATGTGTCTATTTTCCTATCACTCAGGTTTTTTTTTTTAATATTTCATCTACCAAGCAAATATGTGATTGACTGAACTAACAACGGATGCAATTGGCAAAATTAGTCTCTTTCGAATAGTGAATTTAGTAATTAATAACTTAATGCGTACTCCTATATGTTGACCATAGGGTAAAGAGAGCATAGACAAAATATTGGAGGAACTGAAACGGGATGGTTGTGGTAATACAGAAGACTTCAAGACATTCAGTCGGGTTTCTGTTCGACGACTGGGTCGACTGCTTCCAGATGCACGTTGGGTAAGTTGTATCAATTTTTTGTGAAAAATTATTACATCTTTTCTTAGTTCAGGATGAGTCAATCACTGGTTGCTATTTGCATTTACTGTTCTTACTGCTTTCATGATCCTTTTATCTGTTCAATGTAATCCCTTGATACCATTTTGTCTTACATATTGGGTGGTGGCAGAATAGATGACACATAATGTAGAAGGTGATAAACTGCTTTTCTTGTCTCTGATGTATGCTCACAGATTGGGTTTATCCTGCTATTCTTATGTGTTTGGCCTGGAACAGCTTGACCAAATTTCAAGGAATTTGTTTTGGGTTAGGTATTGCTTCCATTTATGGAGCCTAAGCATAAAAAGGGAGAGCACGGACAGATCTTGAAGAGATGCTGCTATCGTGTGAAATGCTTTATAGGTAGCGTTGAGCTTTCTTAAAACTGAGTGTCACATGTTTTAGAAAACATATCTTTGTGCTTTAACAATGCCTTTATCATGCTTTTTTTTCACGTGATATGTCTGGTTTCCTTTTGCTAAGACATTCGAGTCTTGACTTTACCATTCTCATTGTGTTGGTATTGTTGTAGATACTGATGCTGGTTTCAAGCCAACACCTTCCAAGGTGCAAATTGCTTCTCTTCTCTAAAGTTTACTTTATATGTAAACAACTTGAGTATACTGAAGCTGTATCCACTTCCATCTTTAGGCATGGCCATTTGTTTGTAATTTTGTGTTATGCACGCCTATTGATGTAAACTTGCTCTAGGGTGTTGTGGTTGTTCTTTTTTTATTATTTTTTTCAAGCAAGGGAGGGTGAGATTTAAGAAGGGGAAGGGGGAATTGAGCCCAGGACCTCTAATTCCTGAGGCTTGAACCTTAGCCACTAAATTAAGGCCTCCTTGGCTCTAGGATGTTATGTTGGTGCTCTTATACTGTTACAATATCCTGAACTTTCTGACTTTTTTTAACAGTGGAGCGATCATACAAAAAAATAAGAGATTTTATGAGATACATGGTAAATAAAATCCATGTATTTTCACTTTTTTGCTTCTTATGTATCCCTTTGTTGTGAAATGATGTATTCTTGATACTTTTTTTAATGTTGTGGTTCCAATATTAGAGGAAAAGGCTGCAACAGCTTGTTCATACATGCTTTTTCTTGTTCTAATGGAATTGGCCAAATAAACTGTTTTTCAGACGGATTTAGCTCATCAAAATCCGTATACCATTGCGTTAAAAAGTTTTGGGAAAAAGCACCTTGAGAAAGAGAAAGGTAGGACTGTTTGGCTCTTGTGATCAATACTGGAATTTATCGATTAGTATAACTAAGATTTTGATATTCAAATACTGTTTATCTTGTAGATGTACATATTGAAATTAATAAAGATGGAAAAGAGCTGAATCTTGCAAAACTGGAGAAGCTATATGAAGACTGGATTATTAGTATGCATAAGAAATACGATGAGGAAATCGGTAGCGGCAATGATGAACCAACTTTTGTGGTTAATCCTTCCGATAAGCAAGAACTTGGCATCTCTTCTAAGGGTAATCCTGGAATTATAATCAGTTCAGCAGACTCAAAATTCCATTTAGCGTTGCCACCTATTGTAAATTAGTGATACTTCAGTAATTTATTATTTCGTTAGTTTGTGTACATCAGTTTTACTTGATAATACTTTAACATTCAGTTATAAGGGTTCACAAAGTTTTTCGGAGGAAAGGAGCAATTTGGAAATCTGGACAGAAGATAAAAATTCTCAAGGGAGCATATGTTGGTCACCATAAAACCAATTCCTATGCTACATTAGAGTTTGTTATCCTTGAAGGATGGGAGGGGGATGCAGGAGGTAAGCGTTCTTTTAAAAGTAGTTTTGTGCGTGCAATACTCTTAGTTCCAGATCTGCAGTTCTAATGGATTGTGATGGCTAATTAGAATAATTTGATCATGTAGTCTTAAACATTGTAAAACTTTTCCTGCTATATTCGGATAAGAATTTGGTAGTATCTCCTCTATTGTATAACACCTGAGTGTTCTTTTATTTTTGTCATCTGTATGAAACTCCACCGACGTCACAAATCTTCTTTCCTTCTGCATCCAAAATAGGTGAAGCTCGACTTATTTGCAGGTAAGACAAGCCTGTCATTCTTTTGCCAATCCAAGTTTCTTTGTCTCTTTCAAAAGTATCTAAAAATATCTTCTGTGATTAAATTTTCATACCTACAGGCCAATCAGTATTCCGGATGAAAGTGGTTGCAGACTTGTTTTTTATAATGAAAATCCAAGCATAAAAATTGGCGGCTCTATCTCTTTGCCAGTTAATGTGATTGATTCTGGAAAGGTAAGTGGCTTTCTCTGATAGTTTAGTGTACTATTCTTTTTTCTCTTTTAACAAAATTGGTTGCTATTCCAGCATCATGAAATGCTACTCAATTTCTTATGTAATGCAGTGTGTAACCATTGATGACGCTGAGTGGGAAAACCAACTTCAGAAGCATAGTCTGAAAGTGCCATCCTCTATCAGTCTATTGAGTGCTAAAGATTGTCAAGAATTGGGAATCGGAGGGGTTAGTTTTATGCCATTTACATTATTAATTTTCAAACTTATTGCCTTTGGGTCTATTATTTTGTTATTTTGTGTATGATACAGCAAAAAAAAATTCAGAGTTCTGGTAGATCTTTTAACATCTTCAAGTTGGACATGCCTTAGTATATCATAGATAGATAGGGTTAAGCATGGGTCATGTATGGTAAAGGACCAGATCCTACAGGGGTAAGCACGGGTCATGTACGGTAGAGGACCAGATCCTATCCTTGTTGGTTTCAATATCTGTATCCTCACCAAAGCTCTATCAAGCGTTGGAAGGGTGCAAAGGATGCCCGTGATCCTTTAATCTTATGTCATGTTTAATTTCTTGAATTGTATCAGTTTATGAAAATGCAATTGGATATAGGAAACCGTGACTCATCTGCCAGTATCTTGTTCTACAAGGTAGATGCCTTGGTCCTATCTCCTACTTGGATGCTACCTTATGAGGAACCTTACCTTCCATGACCTTACCATTGTCTAGGAGAATAAGGCTGCACATTCACCCTCTCCTTTTGCTCAACTTCAAGGTTCATACTTTCTAAAACTTCAAGGATTCAAAATAAGCCAGCTCAGCGTTGCTCATGTTCAAAAAAGTAAAAGAAAACCAGTCAATTTTTAGGTTGTCTCGAAACAAGAGTTTTCTGTTTTTTCTGTAGAACTTGTAGCTTTCACACTCAAATTTTTCTTCAGTATGTGCTTCCATGTGGCCCTCATGTTAAATGTGTTGAGAAATTGACTACGAACAGGGACTCTGAAGTTCAGAAATTTTGGATTTGCTGATTATTTCCTTTCTCTTTTTGAGTACTAGCCATTGAGTTCTGTAAGTTGGGGTTTTACATACCCCTAACCTGTAAACTCATTGTTGCTATTACAAGTACTTAATTTTACATAAAAAGCAGCTTGTTGGTAACCACCTTCTGTTATGGGAAATAAATTCTTGTTTTATTCAGTGTAGTAGGATAACCAAGTAGAATCTGTTAACAAGAGCAATTTTGGCAGAGACATCAGCTGAAGCTGAAATGAATTCTTTTTTGGCATGCTCTTGTTTTTGGATCATTTTGCAAATTTCTTCCAGTTGAGATTTTTATTACCCATTACATTCCAGATGGTTCCATTCTGACCATAAATTCGTAAAATGGAAGTGCTGGTTAGTGCGGTTCATAGCACACTGGTTTCAAATCCGTTCTTTACACTTTGGCCACTTGTACAAGCCAATTAATCTCTGCCTATTTTAACTTTTTTCACCTCCCATTTTCTGTCGTGCTTTTACCTTTGGCCTATAGTTTAGTCTTTCTATCCTTAAGTCTCCACAGAATTCAACTCTAGTAATGAGTTTCTCTGATCTTTACAGTTTGCAAATGTTTACTGCCTAGTATCTAATCCTTCTATAAAGATGGTGCAAAAGGGAACATCATACAGTCTTTACCGAAATTTTATTTAAAGAAAAAGAAAGAAAGAAATATTTCAGATTGAAGAATTTGCATGCCTGCAAAAGAGAAGATGTCCCTCATTAAAGAAAAGCCTGAAAGCAATAAGACAAATTTGCTTCAGGGCTTTTGCATTTTAAACTGTTCTTGGAGAGTGAAAAGGGAAAGTAAAAAGAAAATCAGTCATTAATTTTCGTATGATCTATCGACATAGACAATTTTCTTATCAACTTTTCTGATTCTAAATCTGTACATCTTAAGCTTGAGTTTGGTTTTTGGTTGCAGGCACTTCCTGATAATGTAGTTTGTGCTGGTTGTGATCCTCCAGAGGAAATAGTTGCAGTTGTTCGTCCTGCCTCTTTTAGTTGTGCTGTCAAATCCAAGAATCTGGACCGAAAGTACATAGTTCAAGATGAACTTGAAATGACAATGGATATAAAATTCAGAGCTGTACATGTGGATAGTGACAATATTAATATTTTTTCTATGAAAGTAACGCCTTCAATATGGGAAGATTGCCGTGGCTTTTATATATTTCAACTAGGAAATAAGCGACCAAATTTATTTCAAAAAGCTGGTCTCTATACGTTCTTATTTTGTGTTGTAAGTTATGTGCTTACCGTTCTTACTAATTTATATTATTAATTTCGTAAATAGATGCACAGAAAGTACTGATCCTGCATTTTCTTGTTACTAAAACTCAGAAAGGGCGGAGAGGTTTAACTTTTGAGAAGAAAGTTAAAGTAAGAGCATTATCTAAGGCTGGAAGTTGGAGACCAAATGAACAACAGAAGCACTTAAATACTGAGAATGCAAGTGTTCGTACTCCATGCTCAAAAGGAAAGAGCTTGCTTCGCCAGGAATCCTCTGAATTAGAGGCTCTGTGTAATAGCCGCCATCATGCTGCACAAAAAAGAATTTTGCTTCTTCGAGACTCATCTGAACCTTCAGACATGGGAAACTTAATCGAATCCAAAATGAATCATCGTGAGAATCTTCATCCACAGGTAAATCTGCACTTGAATAGAGCATATGAAAATATTCTATCTCAAAGCTCACAAGTTTAAGATTTTGCATTCCCAGGAACTCCCTGAATCGGAGTCCGAGGGAGATGATCCCCATCAATCTGCAGAGAGAAGGAAATTGCTCCCTCCAGACTTCGCTTCATCTTCAGTCATGGGAAACAAAGTCAAATGTGAAATGAAGGATCATGAGGTATACTGATTGTTTCTGTGGTGGTTACCAATCCCTGTCAAAAGTTAAAACTTAGGACATGTTTATAAAATGGGGAAAAGGATGAGATATAACCTTCTAGACAGTGTTATGAGGCATTATATCCATTTAAACTTCAAAATTAGTTTGTTCAATCTCATTTAGTAGAAACCCAGCTCGTAAAGAGAGGAAGAGATGTTTCTTGTTTACGAGGCCAGCTTACTTTTGTCTGAGCTTTAATGTCTCTGAGGCCACAGGAGCTTTGGGATGAGCTTTGCCAGTATGGTTTATGCATCAAACAACGGGAAATGAATATAGAATCACTCAATCTTCTGCTGTCAGATATTGAGCGAGACATGTCCAACTTGCAAGGTTTTCATTTAGACCATTTTTTATGTGTTTTCTACTTTAAATTTTGCATGTATGCAAATTATGGATGAATGGTGTTCCTCTTGCACTGACAGAACAGATTTAACCTATATGTTATTTATTTGAGCATCAGTCCAAGTTAGGAAATCTTTCATAGTTTCAACACATCTCTTGATCTACAATGATTTTAGGCTATAGCAATTGTCTGGTTAAGTTCATGCAGTATAAGTGTCATAGAATAGACTTGCACACAAAATTTGTTTTGGGTTGATTCTAAATTTGATTCCTAAAAAGAAAATATAGGTCAATGACAGCCAATGAGGTTTTATAGCGAAACTGGTTGGAGAAATGCTACAAGTATTGTGAAGTCCATGGTCCCCATTAAAAGTTTCTGGAGTCTCAATGTTGTCTAGTTAGCATTACTGTTGTTGTTTAATTGTTAAAATTCACAAGTTAAATAAGTTCAAATATGAGATTGTTTGCAATTATTCTAATATGATAGTCCTCTTATAATCTCAAAACCACAATCCAAAATGTCATCTATTCAAAAAACCACAAACCACAATCTCTTTGTTCTTGGTAGGCCCTATATATTAAAAATTTGCAAAATATCATCATAAATAATGCTTTTGGGTGGATGAAAATGAGAAAGATTGTGAATGGGAAGCTGCACTGGCCCATGGAACTGTGCTCACCTGTAAGGTTATTGGATTGTCTCTGCAAAATAGTCGAAACATTTTGGCCTTTGATTAATGCTGTGAACTTGGTTCTATTTGAAGTAGGGAGTATCTGCAGGGAACTATAGTGAAATTGAGGAGTGAATATATATTGAAAGCGAACAGAAAATAGAGTTTATATGATGAAGGTGTTTCTGTAGATGTGCTCTTATATGGACTTCTGCAAGTATACAAAACAAAGTTTTACACTCTTTTTGGATTGTATTTTTTTGCAGGCTCTCCGTATCTTGACCTCCATGATTTGGAGCGCACAGCTGGAAAAAAGTTAGTTGCAGAACAGATTGTTTGCAGGGGTGATTCTGCAGCTGCTGTTATCTGCAGATTATTCCAATCGGTGACTTATAAAGAGAAGGGAATTGATTTTGCAGACAAAGTTCTAGGTGTGGTTGCACTTCTAGGAACGGTTCAAACCCATGATCTTAGCAGGTACACCCTTGTGTTTTCACTTTATAGTCCCCACTTGGTGGACCAGAATCAGAAAGCACGTTTTAGTGTTTAGCTGAAATTAGATGCTAGTACGATTTAAGAAAGAATAATGAGTGAGTTTTGTTTTGTTTATTTGATGTAGGATATTTGCACAGTATCTTGGTGAACATCAAATGCTTGCTATAGTCTGCAAATCCTATGCAGATGCAGCATATCTTGAGAAGCATGACCCTGATGGACGAGTGAATAATGCCTACGGTCTTCATGAGCTTGCGACGAAACTTGGGATATCTATAAACAGACAATACCATGTCTTATGCGTTGAAAACATAAGGTGCTGCTGATAATCTGTCTGATTTGTTGAACACCAAAAAGTATTAAATGCAAATTATCTTACCGTGTATGATGGATAAAAGTTTCTTTATATGGTTGACTTTTCATGAGGACATATTACTTTTAAAGGAAATTCTACGTTCACAGAAGTGACTCCTTATTTATTAAGAATTCGAGTTTGCGGTTTCTTTGGCAGGCCATATGCGGGGGATTTTTGTAGTGATCCTCAAAGATACCTTTCGTTGCCAGAACCTACCTTACCAAATGGAAAGCCTCCACCAGGGTTTTTGGGTTATGCCGTTAATATGATAGAACTTGACGTGAACTTCTGGTTTTGGAGGACTGCTTCAGGTCATGGTCTCCGGGAGACATTATTTTATCGCCTGTTTGGTGAACTGCAGGTCTATGAAAACAGGCAATGCATGAACATGGCAAGCTGTTGTATAAAAGCTGGTGCAGTGTCACTAGATGGTGGAATACTCCGAGGAAATGGAGTTATATCCCTTGGACACCGGTATGCTTACAGTATTTCGTCATTTCATTCAGTTATTCTCTATTAAGCGTTACGGCAAAGAATTGAATTAGTGGACCATAAGCAGAAAGCGCATTTCAGTATTTAGCTGAAATTACATTATCCATATTTTCTTGTGCTGAAGCATTTTCTCAATAGTTGCTAACATCACAACCTAAAAGCCCAGCTCATTCACTGCAACAACTCATAAACTTCTTTCTTTTTGTTACTTTTTTGGGTGCAGCAGGTGTCAGTTTTGTATGATTACTGTCAGAAATTTTCCTACAATTTTAATGAGTCTTGGAAGAAGAATAACATGCATGCTTGAATGTTTTCTTTTACTCTCCCAGGGAACCGGATGTTAAGTTTCCGGTACTTCCACTAGATAGCCAGAGGTACTTTTCTCCACGAAAAGTGGAAGTTCTAAAGGAGATTGAAGCTAAGAAGCAAGAGCTAAGAGAGACAAATTATAAGCTCAAAGCAGAACAGAGAACACTCGGAGAAGTAATGAAGAAGTTTAAAGAAACGAAAGAAAGATACCAAAGTTTGTTGGATGAAAAGGAAAAATCATTGAGCGGCCTTACCATGCAAATTCTAAACCAATGACTCGGACAGCTTTTCTACTTTAACAATCTCTTCATCGCGCAGGTAGCCATCTTCAAGACTAGCAGCGTGGAGGTTTTATGGCTAGAAGTTCCCATAGCCATTTTCCTGAACTGTTAACATTTTATTTGCTGTTGATGCATTGCTTCATTAACCTTGTATCTAATTTCCAGTGCTTTGCATAATGTATATAATATATCCTGTTCAAGATTGCTCTTGTTAGTTTATACTTTTCTTTTCTTTTTGGTCCTATTAAGGGGCCTCGGCCCCTTAGCTGGGATTAGCTCCTCTGCAGGAGCTCTGATATTTCGTCTGGTGGATCTCTCACCAGTGTCAACCCACCTGTGAATTAGCTTCACCTTCCCGTAACCCAGTGTCAGCCTCAGACCACATGCATCAAAGCCCACAGTTCACATCAGAACATGTATCACAGCCCAAAGTTTGCAAGTTACAGGTTCACGTTGAAACCTCTCCAATCACCTACGGGCATCCCTCCCTAGCCCACCACGATTCCCGGGTTTGACGCATCTGATGTGTCCATTGTGTAGCCTCTTTCCTCCATTCACTCCTTGGGACTGCTGCTTCCTAATCTTAGTTTTTTTTTTTTTTTAAAGCAACACCATTTCTATAATCTAATTTATTTTAATCTAGAGGAAGTGAAGTTTAAAGAGATTGTATATAAAGGGTTAGTGTGTATAAGAATCTGACTAAATTAAAAGGATGCTTCGACTTTTTTTTTTTTTTCGCTACAGATGACGTGTAAACCGTCAATTTACAGTCCAAAAAGGGACTTTGGTGGCCTTTTAGAAAAGCTCAGTGGTTTAATCCTAGTTCCTGCTCTCCCTTTGCTTTTGCTTTTGCTTTGGTTATCTCACCAGCTTCTCAGGCTGAACATGATGATAATGCCTTTGTCATCACTTTCATCAGAACAGACCATACCATGCATCCTTGCTTGTTTAGGGAGGATTTGCCGGCTAACTTGATTAAACACTAATGACGATGGCACCTCATTTCCAATGTCGAATTTGGCGTATTGAGAAGAGCTGGTACATTTTAAAACACAACTCAAACGAATCCTCCATGGGATTATTTCATCTCTTATATAAAAAATTAATTCGGTTAGGCGAGATGTATTATTTTATGTATAATACGCAATCAAGCATGAGATGATATAGAATTAGTAATTCAATTATGTATCATTTTATGAATCACTGACACTATTTATATGTTAGGACCAAAATATATCATTTCAAATGAGTACTAAAAAAGGTTATCTGTTATATTACAGAATATTTATACTACAGCAATGGATAAATAACGTCAAAGAAATGTCGGAATGGAAAAGGCACCTACAAGGCAATTACGGATTACGGGGTGAGAGGCTCTAGGAATTACGGCTTCACAAATTGTTGAGAACAGTTGTAACTTGTCCGGGACGACTGTAGGGAGTTTATTAAAATCATGGGATAATTTCAGAAACCTCCCTGAGGTTTCTAACAGTCTCACTCACCTTTTCTGAACTTTGCAAAATATCAGATACCTCCCGTGTCAGGTTATTGGGTCCTATTTGCGATATCATTGATGATGAATTGACAGATATACCCTCATAACTTATGATATATTTCGAAACTATTTTGACAAAATTAGTTAAATGAGTAATACAAATGATTAACCAACGTAACTACAATTTAGATGCAAAACTAATAGCGAATGATTAACCAACTTAACTATTATTTGCTCTTTATCGTTGGTTTAGCTGTGCACAAAGAGCTATTGGCTTCTATCTTCCAAAATGCAATAGACACCTTGCCTTTTCCATCAATTTCGTATTTCATTGTTGTTAAATGGTTTGTACTGTTCGACAAAAATTAAGTCACTAATGATAATCTTGAGGGCAGATGTGGGATGAAGTGTTTTTCTCTCTCCTGGTATATATTTAAAATTGTTTGTGCATTTGAATTGGGTGAGATTTGATACACTCTGCTTAGTTTTAGGGGAGGTAGCTGATATTTTACAAAGTTCAGTGGAGGTGAGTGAGACTGTCAGAAACCTCAGGGGAGGTTTCTGAAAATTATCCCTAAAATCATTGAATTTGGAATATGGTAGAGTAGCTCCGGAATGAGAAACAACCCTTTGACAGGTGTCGTGGTTCTGTTTGTGATGATTAGATGAAATCAAATAGACATTTATATAAATTTTCAAAAACAAGAAAAAATTATTCGTACACATGATCAATAAGGGATTAAAATTTTTATTTTATGAAATGTGAGGGGCGAAAAATTTATTTTGTCAAATGCAAAAAATTTGATAAGGGATTAAATTTATTTTGTGAAATGTGATTTGATAATTTTGCCTATAAAAAATGATAACATGTATTTCAGTCAAAAATTAATCAGAAATTTAGATAGGGATCAAATTTAATCAATATAAATTTATAAAGGAAGTAAAATTATACTTTTAAAAGTAAGAGATGAAAAAAATTGTTTTACAAAATATGAAAAATATTTTCAACAATTTTCCCAAATATGGACGGATAGAGTAAATAAAGTACTTATAAAAGTTACCCGAGTACATCAACAGCCCTTCGTTTTTTTTCGTTTCGTTTGTTGGGGGAATGGGATAATAATTAATAAATTGTAAATGCTTCGAAATCGAAAGTGCGCGGGTTGCTTGCAAACCTTAAAACGAAATCTTTAGGGGCCCTCTGTATCCCCCTCTCATTCCCCGAATCCTTTTTCCGATGACTGAGAAACTCAGACTTTTTCGTTACTAAAGTTGACCTGCGAGAAACCTTCAAAAGCCGGCAACTTTTGAAGGCTCCCGCAGACCTTAATAAACCCAAACCCCAAACCCCCCGAACCGATGTGGGATAGAAACCCCACAGGGGTGCCCCGCATCCATAGTGCGTCTTTTTGGGTTTTGGCCAACAAAACCGGGCATACGAGACAACAAAACGACACCGCCGCCGTTTTCCGCTGCCTATACTACCACTACTAGTAAAAGCTTAGTGGTGTTTTTTTATATACTTTGCACTGCTGCTCTCCTCAGTCCTCCGCCTCTGCACAATCTGAATTCTACTGCATTTCGACAAATTTAGAGTTTTTATCATGGAGCAGCGATAGAGAAGTATTTCATGAGCCGTTGATTATCAAATTCGGAGAAGCAGGTAACTGAATTTCCTCATTTTCGTTTCTTCTTTTTTTTTTCGTCTTTCCGGTGGGTTCTTCTGAGGTTAGGGTTTGTCATCGTGGCTCACTTGGAAAAATAAAAACTTGGTGGCACTGATGGCATGGAGACGGCGGTGATGGGAAGTAATGTTGGTGATTGGGATGATGATCAGGTGTAAAAGGAAGAATTCAACTGGCTGGAGCTGTAAATTGAAGGCAATGACCGGGCGAAGTCTTTGTGCGAAGCACTATTCAGCCTATCTCCGGCTCCGCTCAAGGTCAAAGCCTTTGCTACCGCAGCCCCCGATTGTCGCCCCGAAAAATCAAGAAACAGGCACTGCTGCTGCTGAACCTGAAATTTCTGGTGTAATGGTTTTTCGCCCTGGAATTGAGAATGTAGGTGAAAAGAGGAAAATTGTAAGGCCACTGGGTTCCAAGGATAAGAAGAAACGTAAGAAGAAGCATCACAAGACCTCTGGGTTCCAAGGGCAGCAGCTCACAATGGATGCGACTGTTGAAGAAACTGTAGTTGATAATAGTATGACGGGGTCAAAAAAGAGAGGTAGGCCAAAAGGCTCGAAAAATAAGAAGAAACTTGATCTTGAGAAAGTTGGTGGTTTGGATGTTGAAGCCATAGCAACTAAGGGGCCGGTGGACGTGGGTGTTGGAGAGAATGTGAATAAAAGTAGCGGTATGGGGTCTAAGAAGATAGGGAGGCCAAAAGGTTCGAAAAACAAGAAGAAACTTACTTTTCAAAAAAATGGGGTTGTCTCGAATGTTGATAGTGGTGAAGTTGGATTAACCCGGGGAGTGCGGTTATCAACTGATTTTACTTGCAGTACTATAAATGTTGATGACTTTGTTGATGATAATAAGGAGCAGATTGGTGCAAGTGCCAAAATTGATGAGGTTGTAGATCAAGTTGGTGGTTTGGTTGTTGAAGCCATAGCAACTAAGGGGCAGGTGGACGTCGGTGTTGGAGAGAATGTGAATAAAAGTAGTGGTATGGGGTCCAAGAAGGTAGGGAGGCCAAAAGGTTCGAAAAACAAGAAGAAACTTACTTTTCAAAAAAATGGGGTTGTCTCGAATGTTGATAGTGGTGAAGTTGGATTAACCCGGGGAGTGCAGTTATCAACTGATTTTACTTGCAGTACTATAAATGTTGATGACTTTGTTTATGATAATAAGGAGCAGATTGGTGCAAGTGCCAAAATTGATGAGGTTGTAGGTCAAGTTCAGTTGGTTAATGGACGTGGCGAATCTGGAGATGGATTTTTCAAAAAGAAGGATGGTCGAGGGAGGCCAAAAGGATCCAAAAACAAGAAGAAACGCGGAGGGAGGCCAAAAGGATCCAAAAATACGAACGATTGTCCAGGGATGCCAATAGGATCCAAAAGCACCAAGAATCATCGAGGGAGGCCAAAGGGTATGAAAAACAAGGAGGAGGATGTAGCTGCTCAAGAAATTGAGGAGGTACCATTTTCGAGTGACGTTGGCTGCAATGGTGGAAATGAAGGTAGGCTCATTGAGGATAACAAACATGCAAGGTTCAAAAAGGTTCAAAAAACAAGAAGTGGTGAGGGGTCTAAGAAGATAGGGAGGCCAAAAGGTTCGAAAAACAAGAAGAAACTTACTTTTCAAAAGAATGGGGTTGTCTCGAATGTTGATAGTGGTGAAGTTGGATTAACCCAGGGAGTGCAGTTATCAACTGATTTTACTTGCAGCACTATAAATGTTGATAACTTTGTTGATGATAATAAGGAGCAGATTGGTGCAAGTGCCAAAATTGGTGAGGTTGTAGATCAAGTTCAGTTGGTTAATGGATGTGGCGAATCTGGAGATGGATTTTTCAAAAAGAAAGATGGTCGAGGGAGGCCAAAAGGATCCAAAAACAAGAAGAAACGCCAAGGGAGGCCAAAAGGATCCCAAAATACGAAGGATTGTCCAGGGATGCCAATAGGATCCAAAAGCACCAAGAATCGTCGAGGGAGGCCAAAGGGTATGAAAAACAAGGAGGAGGATGTAGCTGCTCAAGAAATTGAGGAGGT